TAAACACCAGTTTGCCAAAACACATTTTACCATGAGAGTATGTTGGTGTGGTCTGATTCCTGAATGAATAAATCTTATGACACGGTTCTTCTTAGAAAATTAAAAACCAAAGGAAGTGGTTACTGATTTAACTAACTAGTCTTAACTAGAGTAAGTTACTTGACTCAAAATTAACTCAAAAGAACTGTTGTGCACAAACAAAGTGAGTGAGAAATGGTTGATTTCACGAATACGTTGTTCATATGACAACATTAAACATACACAATACGAGTTCTGTTGTAATCAGTGGTGTATTTGAAGGAATATGATGTGTTTATTTAACACAAGAATCTAAAAGAATCGTTGAACCATTAAGAAATTGGAATCGTTCAGAGGAATCAGAATCGTTAAATTCTTTAATGTTTACATAGGGTAGTAATTCATACAAAATAGCTCAGACAGAACGCAAGAACGCAAGAACGCGTCCTAATAACGCACTGCTTAGACGGCAGATTGTGTATACCACGTATATAAAATCATTAGCAGATATAACACCGCAACTCTTAAAAGCAGAATACACCCCGAAGTTAATAAACAGGCCGAGCGGACCGCTGCTGGAACAGGCAGACATACGCGTTTCACACGCGCTCCAACCGGAGTCACCTGTTTAATTACCGCAACCAAACACGCCTCGTTTCTTTACCGAGCGAAGCGGCGTGTGCACGGATTGAGATATCAAACAAGCATTTTAAATTAAGGGGAAAACCCCCCCAGAAGTGATCTGTTATAAAACAACAGGCCTATATGCATATAAATAAGTGAACATAAGCAGGCGGTGACGCAAATATGTTCAGCACCGCTTTCGAAACGCACGATTCTATTTAAAATAAAAAGAAGGAATCACATATTTGAATTAAAGCGTTGGGAAATAACACCATCAGTAATGTTTAATTATATGGTGGATTGTTACAAGCCATTTGCGAGGCCTATACGCTACATTTAGATATGTTAAACGTGCGATCAATGAGCCATCCAATCAAACACATTTTCTTCAGAAGGATCCACACTAAAACATTTTCCCTGCAGATTTCAGTAAGATACCGAGCAGGTCAGTTTATTACAGGGAATTTAAATCCCCTCTGAGAATTAGATTGCAACACTGTAACCACAGACGTTGTGAGAACGCGGCATTGTTCTATATGATCTTCCCATGGCAACTATTGTTACCATCCTCGTTCTAAACACTCACCGCGCGAAAATCCACACAGCTGAAGACATACTGGCAGAATGAGAAGCCCCAGAGTAGACGTGACCATTTCGCGCTAGAGCTGAACGCTGTGCGGGCTGTCGGTCTGTCTGTGGCCTCGTCCCTGATATTGTAGCACAGCCGATATGTCTTCGTGGGACAAACAGAAAGCAGCGTGATCCACGGGCTCTTATCTCATGTAGGCAGTTCCCCGGTCAGTCTCTCCACACACGCGAGGCGGTCACGGAACCGCAGTCCATGTCCTAATTGAATGATAGCGTGAACCTGCAGCGAATAACCGCGCCACTGCCGAACACAGGCGTGTTTTTTCTCCTTCAACATGTCATTTACACATTGTTAACCCTTTCTGTACCACATCTTCCACTAAACCTGCCTCACACGTGTGGTGTAGTCTCTCTGTGCCTATTTGAGACAAATGAGGGAAAAAATAAATAAGTAAACCTAAAATAGAGTCATCATCCTCAGTCTGTACTTTCAGTCATGTTTATAGAAGTTTGTGTGGGGTAGCAAGTTCAGTACTATATTAAAGGGGTCATATGATGCGATTTCAACTGTTCCTTTCTCTTTGGAGTGTTAGCATAAACACATTTCATTACACCAAATACACCAAATAATGTTATTTTTAGCAACATCATATGACCCCTTTAACTGTTTAAGAAGGTCACTGATTATAGAAAATCAAGGTTTTTTTTAAGAGCAACAAAGCACAAAATAGAAAAAAAAATCACTTGCTTTTTTTAATAATGACATGGGAGATGTGACTAAAAACGTTGGCTCACACAGAAAACTACAGTATAAGACAGGTTCTCTCTAAATTTGGCCCTTGGTTTTTACTTCATAATCTGACAAGTTTAAGCATAGCTGATGTTTGAAGTTCCAATATTATTCTGACATTTCACATAACACAGGAACATTCCCTCAATTTTGATATATGGCAGTTATTTATTTACTTGCTTGCTAAAAAGTACATTTTATTTGAACATCTCTGTTACTGCCCTGTAAAAATATGCAAAAGTTTGAGGTCAGCTACCCAGCTATATATATACAGTGTGTGTGTGTGTGTGTGTGTGTGTGCGTGCGTGTGTGAATAATCTCATAAAATACCATAAATTTTCCAATATTTAAGTAATGATTCATTTAATGCAGTCTTTTTGAAAATAACCTTTTTTTCATAATACTCCTGCTCCATTGACAAATTTTACAGATCAGCAGGAATTTTCAAATCAATCCGCTGGGTTCATTCTGAATTCTTTAAAGTCCTTCTAAAATCTAAAATATTCTGCTTCATTTGACTCTGCAGGATATGGTCACTTTGATCAGAATAAAGACATGAGGGACAGTGTATCAAACATCTGAGGAGAAGAGTAGTGATCGAAGATCATGGTGGTTTTTCTTTCTGAAAACAGGATTACATGAACAGGAGGGCTTCTGTTCCCAGATCAGAACGCACACTGGACTCTTTCATGCATATTGATCCCTTATTCAGAGCAAATCAATGTTCCCCGCAGAAGCCAGACAGATGCACTTTATTTACCCTGTTCATTAATCATCAACCCTGACATCTTGGAGTCTTCTCTTCTCATTTGTTCTGGCTACATCTTCACCTCCTCACATCTGATTAACACTTTGAGAAATATATTTTCTTTATCTGACGTGGTGATAACTATGATTAGTGGTGCTTGCTAAAGAAATATCACTGTTTGTAGTGAAAACTGAGGTGAGATTAACCACTTTTGACCAATTTTATTATTTTGATTAGTCAATTCATCCTAAAATATTTTCTTTAAATATTAAATGAAAAAAATCTTGCCATGTAAAACACTGTTAGCTTTAATGCGAATACATTACCAAAAGTCAAAAGTTTGGAATCATTAAGATTTTTTAATGTTTTTTGAAGTCTCTTCTGCTCAGCAAGTCGGCATTAATTTGGTAAAAAATACAGAAAAATTGTAATATTGTGAATTGTTAATAAAATTTAAAGGAAATGTTTTCTATGTGAATATATGTTAAATGTAATTTATTGCTGTGATCAAAGCTGAATTTTCAGCATTATTACTCCAGTCTTCAGTGTCACATGATCCTTCAGAAATTATTCTAATATGCTGATTTGATGCTCAAGAAAAATTTCTGATTATTATCAATGTTGAAAACAATTGTGCTGCTTCATATTTTTGTGCAAACCGTAATACTTTTTTCCCCCCAGTATTCTTTGATGAATAAAAAGTTTAAAAGAACAGCATTTATTTGAAATTGAAACATTGTGTAACATTATAAACATCTTTAATGTCAATTTTGATCAATTTAATGCATCATTGCTGAATAAAATGATTAATTTCTTTCTTCTTCTTCTTCTTTTTTTTTATGTTACTTACCACAAACCTTTTAATAGTAGTGGCATGGTCTCTACAAAAATATTTTTATTATATATATATATATTAAACAGCAAATATCCATCCCAACTTTTGACTGGTATAGTGTATATTATATTACTTTTTTGGCATCCCATTTAGGCTCTTTACAGGAAGTCCTGCTATTACAGCTCAGTTTCCATTTGCTTAAGAAAAAATATCACGCTAATGTGTAATCATGCTCCATTATAATCATTTATTTAACAGCCTCAATTTAATGTGGTCACACTGTTGCATATGAAACCTCTGTCTTAATCATGGGCTGTAAGTCGACCGTGTCGATTTCAAAATGGCTTTATGTATATAGCTACAGTATAAAGAACTACATAACTGTGGACTTAAAATAGTACAGGAAACATATTGGCTTGGGACATTGAAATCCTCAAGTCATTAATTATGTAATTTGTGAAAGAAGCTTTTATGAGGCCTTTAATGCATAGCTCAGTTTGGCTTGACGTAAATTATATAACAGGTTAGCATAATATGAGGCCACGTGGAGTTCTGTCTTCATTTTCAAGAGTTATATCGGCCACAGGTCCAGTGCTGTGCTCCTCGGAAACAATACAAACACAATAAAATGTAGTTTATTGCTCACTGCTATTTTTTGTTGTTGTTGTAATTTCTGAAAGCATTCAATTCAATTTTAGGATCATTTATACATATACTTACCATGTATATGAAACATTGATTTGAGGTGGAATTATTTTATTATGTAAGAAAAAGTCAAGAAGAATTTCATATTGTGTTGTATATGTAAATAAGGTCTTTTCCAATTCTAAACAATTTGATTTATTTTCAGTGTATTTAGTTTCAAGTGTGTATAATTCACCTCACAACAGTGTACAGTGTACAAATATAACAATAACATCCAGTTATTAAATGGCTTACATAATATACACTATTATACAAAATTTGTACAATAAAATAATACATATAACTGAAATATTACAATAACATTCAGACTTTTTACATTGGAATAAAACAAACAAACATGAGAATACACAATGGGCAGTTATTTTCCAGTGAAGAAGCACTGCATGGCAGTGTCTGCGGTTCAGATCCAAGGTTAGTGGCATCAAATCTGTGAATGTTTTGTTTAAAGCAGCACTATGTAACTTTTTCTGTGTTCAAAATTTGCTAAATGTATATAATGAGCGAGTACATCATGAATTCATCTTCCAAACCGCGTTTTTGTCTTATTCCGAATCACTCCGGTACACTTATAATAAGTACTTATATTTGGACTATTGTAGCCTGGTCGGGTCGTCGCCGCTGCGGAGGAACACGTACCTGCGTGAATCGCCATAGACATAAACTTAGAGAAGTAGCTCCGGTTGGAATGTTCTTCCGCGGGATGTGTGCAGTTCTGTTTATTAACCGCTAGAGCGCCAAAAGTTACATAGTGCTTCTTTAAGGCACTTAATAGCAGTAGAACTAGATATTTTACTGTATCTCAGATAAACACACCAATAAACAAAACAAACAGTGATTAATCACATTACATGTCAATCAGTCGGTTCTTAAAAGCCAGAAGAAGCTGCAGTACGCTAACATATGCAGTATAGCATGTGTACTAAAGTAGACACTTGCTGTTCAATACTGTTTAATTCACTGGATTTTTTGTCATTGTAATATTAAGACTCCCTTCTGAACACTAGACTTAAATTAACACAGTTCACTGGCACTCATTTATTATCCATTGATATTCACAGTATATCAGACTAGTGACCAGTCGCCTGGGCTCTCAGCTGTGATGGGTGACGTTCACCAGCAGATAGTGCTGTCAGCAGTGGTCTGGTCCAGGACCGGCACGGGACAGGGGGCCGATGTCACCTGGGTGGGACGTAGCCGAAAGGTATATGCAAACAGAGGGAATAGTTGGGCATTGAGTTGCTACTGCTGGGCAGTGGGTTGATGTGATAGTGTTCAATCAGGACAGATAAAGTGGGGAACGTCAGATCTGCCTCCAGATACACCCGCTGGTCCTGTACATGTAAAAACAAGAGGGCAAAAGAGAATGAGTTTGATCTGTACTGACAAACGAAGGTGCTACTGTAGCATTTCCTCAACATTCGTAGCAGTGCAGGACAAGTATTTACAACACTATCAGTTCGAGGTTTGTTCAAATCCGTGAGTAATAACAAATCTTGCCTTTGTAAAAGCCTCTAATGATGTTAATATTACTAAGAGCATACAGTACATGAACTGTAGATTTAGTGGCCATGTAAAATACTGACCTCATCAAAGAGCCTATAATTTCTGGCTTTGTTTAAACCCGTGTCCCAAACAACCAGCACCTGTGTCAGATAGAAAAAAAAACATGTAACACATGTAAACACATATAAACACACAGATACATTTGAAAAAATATCTTATGTAATTATATATAAATATATCATTATTTTAAATATTTTTTATTATTATTATTACATATTTTGTTTATCATAAATATATTTTAGAATAAAATCATATATATATAT